TAGTAATGGTGTTTTCCATCTGGCAACCTTTTGGCTGCTAAAACTTTAGATTTTGTTAATAAATGTTTAAAGAACTAAAGTCAGTCAGTGGAACTGTACTGTGGCTGTTAGTAATTATATGTGTTTTAGCCACTAAGGAGAGGTGTGATTTAATAAGAGAGGATGATAAATCACTCAATAGACCTCTAAAAAATGTGTCCCCCTCACTTCTGAGATGATGGTTACACCTTGAATGAAGGCACCAGCAAAATGTCTGGCTTTCTCCTGCTTTTGTTAAACTGTCTGTTGGAGCTCTTGTGCTGCACAGAGAGGCTGCCTGTCACTGTGAASRTGAGTTGAGATCTTCTCCTCATTGGTCAGTCCATATGAGGTGGGTCAGGTGACTGAGAGGGTTGCTTAATGTCAAGTGTTGCTTTTGTGAAAATGGAGGACACTTCCCTGATCTCAATGTAGTGGGTCATGTTTACCAGATTATACTGATGTGTTTTGTTTTTATAGCATCACATGAAGGAGTGTCCTTGGCAAGAGAACATAGTAGTGTATTTGTAGTTCTATGAGCGTTTGTACATCAAAATACACATAGAATTTGAATTATTGAGTATATTTACTATATACTGTATTGCAATAATTTACTCTGTATGTTGCCAGACTAGTAATCCTGGGGTTGTGATGATGGGGCCCTTGAATATAGTTGCCCAGGGTACAGCGAAGTGTTAATCCAGCCCTGCTTGTGGAACCAACTTCCAGTTTCTGTCTGTGAGGCTGACACTCTGTCTACTTTTAAGATTAGACTGAAGACTTTCCTTTTAGATAAATACTATAAAAAGACTTAGGTTTCCTGACTTATTCTTCTTTTCTGCTGCTATAGACAGACTGCTGGAGCGCAAACTGAGCACATTTCCTCACTCTGCTGTTGTCTTTAGTCTCTCTTCTCTACATGTTTATTGTAATTATTTCTATCAATAGCATGTTTTTTTTTTCTTTTTGTCTCTTTTCCAGAAGTAGGTGCACCTGGACCAGTTCTTCTGTGTTTACCTGTGTCTCTTTCCTGTCCCCCAATCCAGCCGGTCGAGGCAGATGGCCGCCTGTCCTGAGCCTGGTTCTGCTGGAGGTTTCTTCCTGATTAGCAGGAAGTTTATCCTCTCCACCGTTTGCTCAGGATGGGAGACTGTGATGAAGTGATTCAACACAATCTGCTGGTTTCTTCTTTAGATTGTTCTTTTTTTTCATGTACAGTGCCTTGAGACAATGTATGTTGTGACTTGGTGCTATATAAATAAACTGAATTGAACTGAAATAAATTGAACACATACTTGGCCTATTGTAAAATCTGATGTTATTTTCAAAGTTTGAATGAAACAGCTACAACTTGTCTCAATATATGCCAATCTTGGGCTAACGTTCTGGCATGAAACATTACAAATAATGGGCATTCCTTCATGTTCTAGGCCTTCATTTGTTTAAAACCATTTAACATTGACAGAACCAGCAGAGTTCAGAGATCAGATGCTGAGATCATCTCTTTCTTCTTTAAGCTCCCCTTTTTTATTAGAAAACAATATAGTCAGAGGCAGTGAACAGGAAAAATATGTAAAACAGAAAGACTCTAGAGTACAAAAATTTTGAGCTCAAATCCGAATTAGTACATTGACTTGAATGTTTTAAATAGTAGTTTTTGTTTATTTGTTATTTCGTTGAGGAAGTTTAACAACACCCAAAATGCAGCTAAAATGGATGACAGTGGGTCGGTGGTGTCATTATCTAGAAGTCATGAGGCTGTGAGTTCAAGCCCAAGTTGTAACAGGAGGGGCACCCAACATAAAACAGGAGGGAAAACCAACAGAAAACTAAATCTACTGTATAAGTTTGCTCGTGGTGACCCCAGCAAAAAATAAATAAATAAATAAATAAAAAACTGCCCCAAAAAATAGAATGCAACTGAAAAGCAAAGGGTTTAAAACTGCTTCTACAGCAGCACATTATATTTAAATAGAAAACAACTGCAATTATATTCATGACTCAGTAATGAGGCAGGTATTATCAGCTTATTAACATACACATTAGCCAGTTTTCCTTCCTGCTTGGGCTGCAGCTGCTCAGTTGTTGTTGTTTTTTTTTAGAGCAAATTGTCTTTTTATGTTCTTTATATTTCTTAGAGATTATTGCTCATTTGTGCCATTTATGTGAGTAAATTAAAAAAATATGATGAAATTCAGATTAGTGTAGTTATTTTTGTTTAAATAAATAAACTTAGATAATTTAAAATGCATTTTGTTAGTATTATTGAATTTGCTGTGTTACACTAAGACTCTATCAAACACAGCACATTTATTATTTTGTATTACCTGGACATTTAAGTGAAAATCACAAATTTTGCATTTGTATTTTTTTTTCTCAAACAGAACTTTAATGTCAGGGAAACAGTTGGGATGTTGTATGCTTCCCACTTTTTGTCTTCAAATGCAAGTGTTCATTTTGGCCAGACAATTGTGTGGTACTTTAATCAGTCCCAAAGGACATATCTCCAAAGATAAAATTCTTTGTCCTTTTGTGCATTTGTGAACTATTATCTTGCCTTTTTATGTTGTCTTTGGAGTCATAGTTTGCTACTTCCTTGCTGAGTAGCCTTTCAGACTTTAAGGATTTGTTTCACATTGTGGATAATAACTGTTATGGCAATATTTATTTAACAAAGACAGAAATACGTGGTCCAAGAATGAAGGTATTCCGTGAGATGATCAGCTGAGTTTTATTGCAACAACAGGAAACACGGAGAACAACCTGGCCTGTCTCTGTGCCTCTGCTTCTCTCTGTCACTGTCTCTCCACTGTCCACTGTCGAACACTGTGTCTCGAGAGGCCTCATATATATATTTTTTAACAAACACCATTCTGTCATCTTAGCAAGATTTGATACAAGGTCAATGGAAAACACAAAGATAAACACAAGTGATATCTAAGAATGACTATTGTTAGCAAATCTTGTTCTGACTTTAATCATTCTGTCTGCAGATGAACAGCATGTCATGAAAACCTAGGTCATTAAAGGATGTCATGAATTACTTGCTTAAACATAAAAGTATTAGTTCCACCACAATGACCCTCATACACCAGCCTCACTGCATCATCACAACACCTGTTGCTTCTGTTTGGGGTAATACACACTTTACCCTACAACCTGTTCATCGGGGGAATACAAAACCAATCTCCTACTGGAGCAGTATGATACCAAGATATTCCATGATAGTTATACTTGCATAGTTTGAATATAATAATTTTGCACCTCTGGAAATTGTACCCAAGGATGACCTAGAGTTGCAGAGAATGACAATTCAAAAAGTATTCTTTCTACCGCTTGATGACATCAGTGGTTGATGCCAATAGCACCCCACCTCCACTATACACTGTGTTGGTAAAGTGCTGCTTCCCCTGCCACAGCTTCCTGGTGGTTTTCCTGAATCTTCTTGAAGCCAATTGAGAGTCTCTATCTAAGGCCTCAATGAACTCTTCCCACATCCTTGCCTTTTCCTCAGCAACAGCCAGGGTTGGAGCCAGCATGGCCTACTGATGCCTCTGGAGCCCTATCAGCTAACATGGGTAGACAAGTCTCCTTTTTAAGCTAGGTTTATATTTGATGCATTTAACATGGTGTGAAAGTACGCACCAACAGTGATGCTATCACACCATCACCATCCCTGTGCGTTGGCCCCGCCCCTGTGCGGTGTCACAGCACCTGGTTGTGCACCTCCTAATTTTGGTAACGTTGTATGGTGCTTTGCGCAACACATTCTGTTCAAATAGCTTGTTTGTCCATCAAGCGTTTGTTCTCATTTTTACAAGATTTCACAAATTATAAAGTGTTTCAGAGAATACGGCACCAACGTAAATGTCAAGTATAAATGCCAACACTGCCTGCTCAGGTCTGTGTGCGGTCAGCGGAGCCCTGCATGACACTCAGAAGCGCAACTATATCCTGGTCTTTACACTTGATGGCCTCCCTCAGCCAGGGTATCCATAGTCTGGTTTGAGGGTGGTCATGAGCAGATCAAAGCAGCTATCTCAACAATGGCAGTTGGAGGCTTGTTGGAGAGATGTAAAAAACATTATAGTAATACAGAAAAAAATTACAACAGGCGATTACAATGTGATTAATCATGTTTATTTACAGGCTTATAAGAAATAGGGATGATTATTTCCCCTGACCAGTACACCTGTAACGTTTGAATACATAGGATTACCCAGATACAAACCAGAGCAGATAATAAACACAACACAAGGGAGTAAAAGTTAAGATGTTTATTTTTACGGCTGAGGATGGTCGGGTATGTTGCTGAAAGGGAAGGTAAGGATTTAGTTTCTGGTTTGAAGTTGAATGTAAGAGAGTTTGCTGATGATTCTTTCCTTACAGGTTTTGAAGAGGAGGCAGACATGGAGGAGAAGGCACTGAAGATCCAGGAGGTAAGTAGAAGATATTCAGAGAGTGTGTAGAGTGTTTACATATCAGTTGGAGAGTGGCAGGATGGAGGCGGAGAGATACAGTCAACGGCTCCTGAAGGTAAATGAGAGGATCCAGTCACAGGAACAGTTGTCCAAATGCTTCATGGGAGAGTCCTTCAAAAAATACACAAGGGAGAAAAAACTATTACGCAAAACCGTTTACAGAGAAACAAGAGGTGGCTGTCATAAGCAGTAACAAGTGAATGAATAATCCAGCAAGGAATGGGTCATTCTCAGGAGCTTAAAGGCTAGGTTACAGTCATGGTTTGTGTTGTTGCGGAAGCTCCGCAAAGTGCGCTCGCTCCTGAGCCGCGCGCTGTGTGAAAACATAGTTGACGTTCATGTTATCACTGTTCTTCCATCACCAACAGATGGCAGTATGATGCCAAACCAGTGGGAAAGTGGTACGAGAGAGTGTAGAACAAGAAACGCTTGACGTCACACATAACAAAGTAACCACATTTACCTCTTTCTCCATATAATCTAATATAATATAGCAGAACTAATAATAACTAATATAATATCTGTTTCTCTGTGCTTCACGAACTGAGAGAGCCACACTGGTTTGTTTCCTCCAGGATCACGACTTTCACAAACAGGTTGCAAATATTTTTCCATGTCTTCTGGCATAAAACTCATCTTTCTTTACAGCCGTTGCAATTTCCTTCAATGAGTGTTGTGCCATCTGGTTGTCTTTATGATCTCTCATGGAGGGATCATACAGATGCCGGTACATTCGGACCTGTTCAGCGAGAGTACCTTTGTGATGAGTGTCGCGCAGCCTTTGCAGAGCTTCAAAAATTTGGAGGTGCACGACCACATGCCAGGACACAATGCGGGGCCAACGCGCAGGGGCGGGAATGTCGCAATTGCATCACTTTTGACGCAAGCCCCCTCGCGCCCTGTGCGTTGCGTCAACTATAACCTAAGCTTAAGTAGGAACAGACCTCATCAGCAGAATCCTCAAAAGGTGAGTAATTGAAAGCTCCACCTCCAGCCACTCCAGATCTGCAGAGAGGAGTAAACACCACACACACACCCACACACACACACACACACACACACACACACACACACACACAC